ATGGTCGATGTGTTGAAAACAACAGCTGTTTCCAGATTTTTCTTTTTGTCCCGGTTTGTATCTTGCTATTGGGGTCTCCAGCTGGGGTAATTTTGTATTACGGAAATGGGAAATTTTATATATTAATATTGGAATATATTATTTAGAATTTATTGTGGATTTATTCATTTATTTATTCCTATTTATTCTTTCAAATAACCTTTATATTCCCAAACCTTCTTAATTAATTCTATTCACTCCCACCAAGCCTAACACTCTCTCGCACGCGCCCACCCACATTCACCAAAATATATTTAAAAAATAAAAAACAACAATTTAATCTACCTCATCTAAAACATAAATATACCAAATCCCAAATTCGAAAGAATTGTAATCCTATATATTATATATCTATATAATATAAAATGTTAGAAATATATATATATTTTCTAAAATTTATATTGCATTTTTTATGATTTTTTTTGGGGGCATTTTTGGGGTCGAATATAGATGAATATTTTATATATAATATATATATATTAAAATAAAATATAAATATATTTATAGATATGAAATATAATAAATATTGAATATATTATAATACTATTATTTTTTAATTATTCTATATTATATTTCTTTAACTATTAAAATATCTATATATAAAATATAAATATATATATTTCGATATGATTTTTATATTTTTTATATTTACTAAATGCTATATACTTTAAATATTATTATATAAAATTTCGAATAATATAAATTTTGTATATTTATTTATTTTCGAATATTAATATTTATTTAGGTAATTTATTTTAAAAATAAATATATATATAAATAATTTTATAGAATTAATTTCGATTAATCGAACGATAATGGGGAAAATAATTTATTGTAATAATATTAACTAATATTAATTTTAAAAAACCTTCTTTTAAATATAACGATTTAATATTTTTTGTTTGACACAATTTTTTAGTATTTTTTTTTCTAAATTAAGCAAATATATAATGATTCTAATAATCCGTTAATGCGAGCAATCATATAAATATTTCAAAATTGTCCTGGCAAAACATCCTAAATAATTTTGGAGTGTATATTATATGTATTTGTAGGTGAAGGATGTGATAATGAATGCGAACGTGAGTGAAAGGAAGATTGTTGGTGAATGAATGTGAATATGGGCATTATGAATATAAATGAAAGAACAGAAGATTAAGGATCATATATATTTGAGAATATAATCACCAGAGCACACATCAAGGTAATGAATGAATGAATACATGAATATGGATGGATGGATGGATGCATGGATGCATGGATGAATGAATGAATGAATAAATGAATGAATGAAAATATTATCCAGAATGATTATTGATTGGAACCACGCCAGGAGATTAAGGTAGTGAATGAATGAATGAATGAGTGAATGAATATACATGAATGGGAATATTGTCCATATTGACCAGAATGCACCTGGGTGGAACCCCACCAGGACACAGAGGTCTAGATGTGAGGACAACGGTTTACAGACCTGCAAACTAGACGGTCAATATCCCCCAATAACCAGAGGGCACCTGGGTCGAATCACGCCAGGAAACAGAGGCCTAGATGTCTAGGAATATAAATCACCATACAGAGATCCAGAGAGCACACATCTGAAAGCATAGTGACCAGATCACGCATCAAGTGAACGAATTCACAAAGTACTGTGCCTGTCACGAAATCTGCATGTCTATGCTCACCAAGTGCTGCGCCTGTCACGAAATCTGCTCATCGAGAATTACAAAGTGTTGCACCTGCCACGAAATCTGCATATCGAGATGCCCCAAGCGTTGTGCCTATCACGAAATCTGTACATCGAGATTCACAAGTGCTGTGCCTGTCACGACCTCTGCGCATCGAGGTCACAAAGCGCTGCGCCTGTCACGAAATCTGCACGTCGAGGTCCACAAAATGCTGCACCTGTCACGATCTCTGCACGCCGAGGTTCAAAAAATTGTCACGAAATCTGCGCATCGAGATTCACAAAGCGCTGTACCTGTCACGAAATCTGCACGTCGAGGTCCACAAAATGCTGCACCTATCACGATCAAACTTGTCACGAAATCTGCGCATCGAGATTCACAAAGTCCTGTATCTGTCACGAAATCTGCATTTCGAGATTCACTAAGCGCTGCGCCTGCCACGAAATCTGCACATCGAGGGTCACAGAGTGCTGTGCCTGCCACGAACTCTGCAAACGAGCCACATATCCAAAAATCATTTTATACCTGTCACGAAATCTGATCTCCTCGACGATCACCACCATTTCCAAAGTGCCGCGCCTGCCACGAAAATTGCAACTCGAAGTAAAACAATTCCGATCCCTTGCACCTATCACGAAAAATCGACTTTGAAGCACCAAACCACGAGGTTTCCCTTGCGCCTGCCACGAAAAGTGATCACCATGTGCGAAAGTGTGCACGGCACCACAACGAGAACGCAATTATTAGAAACACCCGCCGCCGGCCCCCAGATTCCGAAATGCATGATATCGAGAAGCATAAATGTGCTGTAAATGGCAACGAATTAGCAATTCATGTCCGCGCGCTTCAGCGAATTAAGCCTCAACTTTTTCTACTATCGTAAGAACCCCTAAATATATCCACACTCATTAGGGAATAATACAACTATTTCGAAAATCGAACAAATCGCGCCGAAACCAGGATCCCAAAACAATCAATTTTTTTAAGAAATCCCAGATTTAGAATTCGCAAAATAAAAGCCTAAAACCGAATACCAAATATACAGCCGCCATAAAGAAAAATATCTTTACTAAAAATCCCAACATAAAAGAGGATTTTTGAGACTTTCGGTTTCGTCGAACTATGCGCGCGTGCCTATTAGTAATTTTATACTAATATTATAAATACGACATATTTCACCATATTAATGTGCCCTTTTTTAAATATGATATCTATTCCTGCCTTCCTCCTCCTTCTCCTCCTCCCGCCTCCCGCCTCCCGCACCAACAACCAACAATTGCCCTCATTAACATCAACCAATTGCTACCCACCATTTATCATCAATCAATTGACATCAACCAATTATTACCCACCACTTGACATCAACCCATTGCCATCCACCAATTGTCATACAACCAATTTCCACCAATCAATTATCACCAACCAAATGTCACCATACAATCATCAACCAATTGTCATTAACGAAACGTCACCAACCAATTATGATTTGCTTGCTAGTTAACTGTCTTCTCCAGGGGGTGGGATGTACGCCCTTCCGCCGCTGTTCCGCTGTGATTTGCGTGCGAGGTGTTCAAAAACAATGTGTTTTACAGGGTTTTGTGGGCGTGGATGATCCATAATTTGGATAGTGGTGAAATGCAAAAGCCGTAGATTTTTAAAGGGTGGTGTCGGTAATGCGCTCCGCCCGCGCGTGCATAATCAATTTTTTTTGAGTCATAGGCCCGTGTCAACGCAAATGGCTCAAAATGTACACCAAAATGAGCCAACAGAGACCCCCAAGATAGGTCCAATGGGTTAACATAGCCCCAAAATGGCCTAACATAGGCCCAAGAGGGGTCCAATATAGGTCACAGAAGGCACAACATAGGGCCAAGATGGACCAACATGGGCCCAAGATGGGCCAACAACAACAACAACAACAACTGGTGGGTGGCAATTGATTGATGTAACAATTGATTGATGGCAATTGGTTGAGGACCATATCTTTTTAAAGAAAAATAGGCCCTCAAAAATAATCATTTCACCAATCAATTGCCACCAATCAATTGTCACCAATCAATTACCATCAATTATAAAATTGGCACAAATCAATTGTCATCAATCAATTGTCGGTAATTAAATGTGGGTGGTCATGAATTGGTGGTAATCTTTGGTGGTAGTTTGTTGGTGGCAATTGGTGGGTGGCAATTGATTAATAATAATTGGTTGACGACAATTGGTTGATGATAATTGGTTGGTAATAAGTGGTGGGTGGCAATTGATTCTGGGTGATAATTGGTTGATAACTATTAGTCGATAATAATTGGTTAATGACAATTGATTGATAATAAATCGTTGGTGGCAATTGATTAGTGATAATTAGTTGATAATATTTGATTAGTAGATCTTTATCCTTCTAAAATACTATTTTTTACGCTTTGTTTTTCTAAATAGACATGATCTTTAACCAAATATCATGAATTAATTATTACGCCATCAATTTATTGTTAGCCTATCTTGTGCCCTCTAAAAAATATATTACGTCCGTCTTAGATCTATATTAAACCATCTTAAATCTATACTAATCCATTTTAAACCTATCTTAGGAATCTCTAATAATTCATCTTAATGTAAATTTTGCGTAATGTATATTCACACGAATCCATAATTCAAAACATTATATATATATATATATGCGCGGGCGGCGCACATTATCGAAATTGCCGTTATAAAATCTATGACTTTTGCATTTCACCATTATCTAAATTACTAATTTTCCATATCCATAAGACCTTACAAAATACAATAATTTCCGAAATTTAATATACGACCGAATAATACCAACCAATTCCAACATATACATCCCACCCCCTAAAAAAACCCAATTTAACATTAAATAACCATATTTGCTTAATAATATTTAATTAATACAAACTATTTATCTAATAAATATGTTTAAAAATATAGAATAATTATAGAAAAACTAATTACAATACTTCTAATTAACAATTAATTAATACCAACAAATTTCCACTCATAAACGACCACCAACCAATTGTTACCTATCCATTCCTATATCTATTAACATTATATATACTGTGAAATCAGCGGAGTGCGCAACTGCCTCGCTATTTCCCTAGGCAAAAAAGTTGCATAGCGTCGGGTAACATACGGTCCCTGGTCATTGGACCAACGAATTGCCGGAAGGACTGGTTCCCAGCATGCTCATGCCATCGTTTCCCGTTTCACAGCACCCCAAAATATTGTGGGTGCCAATCCTTCGCAGCTCTGCACTGGAGTGGCCTGTCTTCTTGGCTGCCTCGCGCAGGGTCATTACGCCCTCCACCGGCCGGATGCTAAACGATCCCGATTGGATCACCTGCCTCAGGGCCGCATTGGAGCCGTTGATCTTCGTCAGACCGTCAGCGATCATCGCCAAGTGCTCCACCCACTTCACCTGTCCTTGTAGTCTTCGGAGGTCATCACGAATGATCTCGATCTCTATTGCTGTCCTCTTGTCCGACCCCCCGATTGTCTCTCGGGTCAAGTGATCGTACAAAGACTTTGCATCGATCACGGCCAGGCTTTCCCGGAGCCCACCCTCCGTATCTTCCGAGCTGATCACCATGAGCTTTTTCGTGTTCAAGTGCTCTCGCCAATCTTGGATGTTCAATTTGCCATCCGAGAGTTCTTTCATGAGCAGCATGGTCCATGTAAGCTCGGCCAAGCTTCGACAAACTCTGGGTTTCCGCTACCATGGTGGAATTAACCACTCTTTGCAGTTTGGCACTTCGCCAAGCCCGAATGTTGGTGGGCGGTGGAACTCCGTCTCGGAGGTAGCTTTCGTGTACAATCACCAAATGGCCCCCCTGAGAATGAAAGCCGTTGTTGGCGTATGAGGCGTCCGTCACCACGCGGAGCTTCATCTTGACAAGCGGCTGGATTCGCAAGCTCAGCTTTGAGTGCTGCTTCAGGTCTTTGACCACGGCGTTCAGCTGGGTGATATGCTCGATGGTCAGTCGATTCAGCTTTGAGGCCATCAAGCTGGATGGTCCTGCGGCATCAAGGCGGCCTTCTTTGCTGAGCCAATTCAAAGCCCCGCATGTGGCTCGGGCGGCGTTCTTCTCCTCTTCGTTCACGGCCTCCTTCTTGGCAGACTTTCTTCCCTTTTCGAGGATCATTGGATGCAATCGCTCCTCCACGAACTTCTGCATATCGATCAGGAAGCTTCCATCTGGGGTCTGCTTGATCCTTCGACCGTTGAATGCCGCTCCTTCCTTTTCTTCCCCGAGGATCACGTACTTGCCGAACTGGAACTTCTTCTGGAATTCTACCATGTTTTGGTGGCGCAAATGATGACCCACAGTGAACAGGTTATCTACCTCGATGGCGATCGCGCCGAGGAGGTTCTTTCGCCTGGAATCGTGCAGCTTAAAGACGTAGGGATCTAGTGCCGAGCTCTCGTAGCCTAGGGCCCTCAAGTCTTCCGTCAGGCTTCTTCGCCAATGAAGAGGAGCGTCGATGAGGCCGTAGCATCCGTTGATGATCTTCACAATCTGCTCTGGGTGCAATCCCACGACTCCCTCCTTAGGCTGCTGGAAGTAGAGAAGACCGTTTGGTCGGACCAGCGGTTTGCTTTGACAGAAAGCGTTCCGAAGATCTCCCATTGTGGCCTTCATGCCTTGATTCGCTGCGAGCTGCAGCAGGATGTTGAAGTTGACGGTATTCAACGTGGGAGAGAACCGTTCCAGCTCCATGGCATCCGGGTCTTAATCCCCTCGAATGCACAGCCTTGACTTCTTTGTTGGAGGCTCACCTGGCTTGTATCTTCGGGCAATCTTGGTCGGAAGGACCCTGTTCTCCTTCCCCTCGGCCTTGAGAATGGCCCTAACTTCTCTGAACTCTTCGAGCGGCAGCACTTCCGCTGCCCCACTTCCAGTGACCTTGTTCCACTCGGAGAGGTCGGCTTGTTGCCATTCTTCGAGCCCTTGGGCGTCTTCTTGGCGTAGGCCCACTTCATCTTAACCTTTCTTTTCAGCTATCCATGCCTGTAGGGCTGGTGACTTCTTCATCCAGAACGTAGTTTGCCCACGCCACCATTCATCTTGTGATTTGAGCTCCTTCTTGGTCCAATCATCATCTATCACCTGGATGGGAGCTCTGGCGGACCTCATTGTAGTCTCTCTCCGGTGCTCCAGGTGCTCAAGTGGAACTGGACTCTCTTCGCAGATGCGAGGATTGAAAGGGGCCTTTCTTCGCCGGGTGTGATGTCTAATCACCCGTCCTTCCTTCAGGTCTACTTCCCAGTAGTCTCGGCCCTGGTTTCTTTGGTTTAAGCTTCTGGCCATCATCCTTCGAGCGGTTTCCGTGGCTTCTTCATCATCTGCCAGGTCTTCCGGGTCATTCCGGTTGTTGAAGTACCACTCCTTGGTGACCAGGTAGGGATTGTTCTCCCGGAAGGCTTGCCGGAGTTGAAGTACTAAGCTTTGGTCCGGATGGCCGTCGAGTCTCCAGGCTTGGCTTATGGACTCATCGAGAGCTCTCCTTGCTTCTTCGGCCGTTGGTGGTGGCCTGGCTCCAGGTCGGCTTCCCACTGGAGGTGTTCCTGGTATTCCATCAGGCTATGGATTGGCTCGGCGATTGAGCGTCGCCGGGTCATCTCTTCTTCTCCGGGTTAAGGACCTTCTCCCGGTGGCTCGCTTGTGAAGCCCTTGTAGCCCGCTCGGTGCGGCGCCCGCTTGAATCTCCACCAGCTCCTGGCACTCCTTACCGCTCAATTAGGCCTTTGCCATGATTTGCCCTCTTGTTTTTTGGAAGATAACTTGTTGAAAAAGGTGATTGAAAAAGCTAACATAAAAA